GTGATTCAGATAAAGAAACCAATAACCAGAAAGAGGGAAAATTCTTCAGTGTCCTTGTTGTCAATTATTTTTTTTTTCATGGCAGTGAATCTTTACTTAGGAACTTATTTTAGAAGAAGAAAACTTATTTCAAATCGGACCAAGTACAAATATAGTGAATACATTTCAAGCTTGCATTTGGTAACATAAAATCTCTCATTTTTGATAAATACTCTTTTGATATCTGAATTTGTTTTAGAGGATCTCTTGAGCACTAGTATACTTTCATTTGAGGTCTTTTTATTTAACTGGAGCACATACATCTCTGTGTTACATCGTAGGCAGGACCCGTTAAGTATTTAGCTACAAAAATCACAAATATTCTTGACTATAGCAAAAAAAAAAACCAAAAAAAAAACAAAAAAACCCCCCAAAAAACATATTTTTTACAGCTTGCCTGTGTAGTTCAATTAGCAAAATATTATAAAAACTTCAGTTATAAAACCAGTTACTAAAAAAGGTATTATAGACCATATATCAAAATTCCCATTTCCAGTACTTGGGTTTTTCTTACCTAGACTAGCCCATTTAACACCTGTTGAACTAATTCTTTTCTTTTTAAACATGTTAATGTTAAACTAGATGAATCCCATTGGTGTTGATCAAGGCTTTAAACAATGTTATTATAACACTTCGAGATAAAACATCTCTAAAAATGTGTTATTCTCTACTATATTGATTAAAAATAAAATGAATATTTTGGAACAAGTGTAAATTTGCTATATGTGAAACATACCAGAGCTTTCTAGTTTTAACTCTGGCATTTAATGATATAAATCAATTATGTTATGATCAACTAGTCTCCCCACTTAGAAACCAGAAGCAAACATATATGTTATCTCATCTTCACATAATCAGCAAAAATAAATTACATAAGAGAAATTTGAGAGTCCTTGGGGAAGAAAGGCTGATTTCTGAATGTAAAATATTTGCTTTACTATCCCTCTTATCATGCAGCAAGTAGATGAAATGCTTTTTCCTGTGTGTTTCTGCAGGCTGCATTTTCTTAAGAGATTGTATTTGAGAGTTAAATAGAAGTATTTTATGGCTACAGGCCCCAAAAAAAAGGAGGTGGGGTTGTTAATATTTCTGAAAACCACAACTTGGGAAATGGAGCGAACTAATGCTGTGTCAAATTCCTTGAGGAAGAGATGACGCTTTAGGAGAAAAATGTCAAGTGAAATGCTTAAGATGTATATGGTTGTACTCAAAGTTTTTATTTCTTCAAGTTTTCTTCTGTATTGCTAAAGAGTAGCTATTACTTGCTATGATATATGACAAAATACATTCAAAATCATCTATTTTATTTAGAATTCTAGGACTAGGGTTTTTTTTTTTTTTTCTTTTCTTTTTATTGGTTCTGGGGATCGAACTATCGACTGCCTGCTTGCAAGGCAGGTGCTTATGCCGCTGAGCGAAATCCCCAGCCCCAGGACTAGGGTTTTTTATATTCAAAGGTTTTAATAAGTTATGTCAATAGGGAGTTTTAGGAAGTTTTTATTTAAAAATTGATTCAACAAGAAATAACTTCCATTTCACATGTAAACTACAAGATGGTTCACTCTTTGTATTCCAGTGACATTAAGAGATATTGCTTTCAAAGTTTGAGTGTCAGTGCAATTTTTTATTGTAATTAAATTAGTAAAGAAGATTGATGACTTCATTATAAGACTTTCAATTAAATTTGAGAATTAAAGCAAAAAGGACATGTACCTCCTAATAATTTCCACATCAATAAATTTAAAGTAGTACAATGAAACATAGTTTCTATAGTAAGACCAAATCACATCTGTTAAATATTCAAATGAGCATTATAAATCCAATTTGCAATTCACTTTCTCTCTTTGTAGGTACTTTTCTGACTAAATTTGTGCTTTCTTTACCTGATCTACAAATCACTCATCACATCAAGCTTTATTAAACAAGAAACTGCTCTTGCATAAAGTACACCACATGATAGTACTATACTTTGAATTTATTACAGACCATGTATGTATATTGCATGAATAAGGTTTCTGAAAGATCTCAATTCTTTTTAAACTCTTTCTTTAGAAATTTATTTGTAGGTTTCTGTATTCTTTTGTCACATACAAAATGGAAGAAACTTTTCAGGCATTTATCTAGATGCTTAAGTAATTTCCAATTCTGATTTGAACTATCCTTGAAATTCATATTTACTAAGTTAAATTTATGTTCATTGAGCATACCACTGTCACTATAAAGAAATGAGGATGTATAAGAAAAAATCATTGGTGGAGGTAGGACCAGAAGTCATAATTTTTTGTTTGTTTGCTAGCATGCTCTCATACCATTTTTAAGTCCAGAATAGATAAAATTTAAACTGAATCTCATCTTACAGAAATTATACAAGAAAAAGAAACTCAGTCATAAATAAGAGTTCCATAACAGTAAATGATTTCCATCTGGCTTAGAAGATTCTAAGACCTTACTTTAGTTTTCCTTGGAAACTCAGAGTAGATTATAATAGTTATGATTGTAGGTGTGGTGACTAAAGTAAACAATACTACATTTGCTCTTTGTTTAATACATTCAATTACTCAACTAGACCTATTGTTCTAAGGTGAAGATAAAATTTTAAATAGTGTAAATTTTTCTCCTGTGTGAATTATCATATTTGATTTCAGTACAGTAGGAGAGATGTTGAATACTTAATAATAATTATCAGTCGTAAGTTACTGTGTTTTGTTCATTTCTTTTAGGGCCTTGTAAGCTTTCTATAGTTATAAATATAGTGTGTATGTTAATATTTGCACAATACTAGGTTTCAGCTTTTATCTACACTAAAATTTAAAAAAAATTCATCTTAGACTAAGTTAAAGATCATTCTAGAATATATTTTAAACAGATCGGAGCTAGATTGATCACTTCATTATAAGACTTTCAATTACATTTGAGAATTAAAGCAAAAAGGACATGTACCTCCTAATAATTTCCACATCAATAAATTTAAAGTAGTACAATGAAACATAGTTTCTATAGTAAGACCAAATCACATCTGTTAAATATTCAAATAAGCATTATAAATCCAATTTGCAATTCACTTTCTCTCAAGAATTTGTGCTTTCTTTACCTGATCTACAAATCATCACAGCAAGCTTTATTCAACAAGAAACTGCTCTTGCCTAAAGTACACCACATGATAGTACTATACTTTGAATTTATTACAGACCATGTATGTATATTGCATGAATAAGGTTTCGTACATTTTTTATTGAAGTGTATTTCAATTACCACTTCCAGGCCTTATTTTCATCCTGCTTTATATTTGTCTTATCAGGCTAGTGATATTGAAATAGTTTGAATGTGAAATTGTAAAATATTTAGAAGCTGAAGGTAAAAAAATTTACAAAAGAACAAAGAGGTGATTTAAGAATCTTTTCTGGACTACCAGGAAATACTTAACTACATATAAACTGTCCTGAAGTATAATCCAAACAGATGTCTTTTTTAAGCACCTGTTGGAGTCCACCCTGCAATTGGCCCTTTAAATTGGATGGAGTTCTAATTTTCCAAAAGCAGTCTTTAAGCAAGTTGGAATGTCAGAAATGCACATTTGCTGCTTATATTCCTGTGAAGCAAACTAGTTCCTGAATTACCATGTTGATCACTTGATTTTGTAGTTAAGAGAGAAGTCTACAAATACCATTAGGACTGACTAGCTTTGTTTATAGAGGTTTATTAGATGGAGTTGATTAAGCCAATGAAAAAAACATTATTTTTACCTTCTGAGGAGTCTGTTAACAACTTGTTAATAATGAGAACTGTAAATTGAAGAAGGATGAAACTTCATCTTAACTTTCATCACTCCCAAGTAGATCTATATTTGTATTTGAGTATAATAAAATAGCTAAAATGTCACATCACTTAGCACCAAACATGACTATGGCTGATTCTATTCCAAAACGGACATATATAAGCTGTATTAGTAGCATTACATGATGATTACTTTCATCACGTCTATGTATAGTATAGTACTGAGTCAAACATTGTCAGGCTGGAGGTCATGGGCTATGCATAGCTATTTAAATACGTTAGGTTTGAGACAGCCGAGTTACTCTCTGACCTGGCTTTAGTGAGTGGGCAGATCATCTTCATCTTTATGCCTTCCTGCCCTTTCTAAAAATAGTAAGGCCTTTAACAAGGAGATATTTTAAGCTGCTCATATTCACTTGTCTCATCAGAGAAGCTTATTTTGGCCACTTGCATGTGTCAAATTTACGTGTGTGCATAGACTTTGGAATACTAGCCCATGCTTCTCACTACTCATATAAGAGACTGGCAAGCTTAAAGGCCCTGGGATTGCTAGCTGAGAGTGTGGGCTACATGAGTTGGTAAACATAAATGAAAGGAAGACACTTTTTAAGAATGTGAATATGCTCCTGAAATCATCCATTTCAGACATTTGCACATCAGCCCTCAGTTTTTCGGATCTGTTTTCCTAAGACCTGGCTGTGGTTTTTCTTCAGAGACCTCTGCGATTGTGTCACTTTTAATAAATATTTATAGGAGGCACTGCCAGCCTGTGGATAAGGGAAACTAATGAGAAACTGCTATCCAAAATCTGAACGACAAAAACAAAGCCAAGCAAAACCAAAACAAAGCCAAAAAAGAGCAACTCAAACAATCCGTGCTCACAAGAAGACACGTAGAAAAATACCAAGATGTAACTTTGATTTGATAACTGGATTTATCAGTCCCTTGACTGGCATGCAGTGGGTACTTTGTATTTTTCTACTTTGAAAACAATTGCAAATCTATGTTATTCTGCACAACTGGGACCAAAAAAAAATATGAGTGTGAGGAACCAGAGTCTCTAAAAACAGGATGGAAATTAAGCAGGTAAACCCTGTTCCAGAGTCAGGTCATTCCGGTACAGATGTACGTGGTGCTCGTGTTTGCTCCTCTAAGAAATTTCCATTTTTTCGCATCAAAAAATCCAGATATGAAGCTGAAGCTGCATTCTTCGCCAACCTGAAGCTGTCTGATTTCAACATCATTGACACCCTTGGAGTTGGAGGTTTTGGACGAGTAGAACTGGTAGGTGGATCGTTCTTGAAATGATTTTGAAAGCCCTCATCTTCCCTTTATTGCTTCTCCTATATGACTTCTTTCTTTTCTCTTTTCATTAATTATTGTTGTTCCTAAATATTCACCAAATGCCCTTAAAGAGGCATGTCTGTGTTTGGAATAAGTGGGTTATGCTATGTAATCTGTAGGCTAACAATAACGTAAACATCAAATTACTTTTTAGAAAACATTTTCAAATTAAGTAAAAGGTAAATATATTATGTAATGAGGAGGCATAAAGAACTTTTTACTCTGTTGGTAATCTGTAATCCACATTTACTTAGTTCTGAGCAGTGCTCATGAACTTGTTATTCTTTAACTTGTTATAAAAATTTGAATGTAAATTTCAGTATAGATAGAATACTGGGAGATAAAGATATGAACTAAATGGCACAGCAGTAGCTAAAATTCTGTAGTTATCAGAGCCCAGATTATAGTGGTAATGAATGTTTTATAGAGTTTATTTCATATTACTTTATATATTCAGCTAAGTGGTGAAGAAGATGGAGACATTTTTGAACAAGTTTATACATTAAACACATTTCAAAAATGTGGACTAGAGAGCTTGTAAGCATGTCCTGATTGTATTTGTTTTAGACAGAAACTTAAAAACTGACATCTTTTTCCAAAAATCAGAAAAAAAAATATTCTAGTGACTGAGTTAGCAGTGTTTCAAGACCATGCAGACGTAAACCCTTTTGAGAATGCCGATTCATTCCCATCTTGCTGTGAACCCAGAGGAGTCCCTGATATCAGACACCAGTACAGTGTGTGAGGAACTCCCTGAGCCTGAGTGCAGTTCTGTAAACAGTTACTATTGCCATCTGGAGTCGGAAGAAATCCCTCTCCATAAAATGCTATGACCCAAAGCAACTTCTGTTGTTAGTGTATTCGTGTTGCAGTTGTGATTTTTGACTATGACAAGCAGAAAATGTCTATTTACTTAAAAATTTCTAAGAAGATTTTATCTAGGCATGGTGGCAAATACTTATAATCCCAGCTATTTGGGAAGCTGAGGCAAGAAGATTAAAAATTCAAGATCAACTTCAGCAACTTAGTGAGACTTGGTCTCAAAATTAAAAATTAAAATAGAATTAAAAAGCCTGGGGATATAGCTCAGTAGTAGAGTTCCCTTGAGTTAAATCCTCAGTATCATTCAATCAGTCAGTCAAAGAAGGTTCTAAAGCCATAAAGTGTTCCCTTAAATTTGCATTATAGTTCTTTTAACAATGATCATAAAATACTATATTAATGCTACATTTTTGAGTGGATGGTCCATAATATGCCTCTTAGATTCTGAGTATTTTAAATTATGAGACTAAAAATCAAGTAAGGTTCTACAAAACCTCATAATTTTATGAATTATGCAATTTGATGCACTTTCACATTTATGTTTTAAGGATTTTAGTTTGTGATGGGTTATAATTATTTGTAGAACTAAAAAAGATTTATTGCCAGCATTTGAACACCTTTGATCTGGAGGTATGAAGACATACAAGCAGCAGAGAAGGTAAAATTTTACCATAAAGGTTAGATTTCATGGTGTGTTCATTTGCATAATTATATGTACCTAATAATGTACCTAAACTCCCTGGTTGATTAAGCAATAATAAAAGACAGAATTCCCCAAAGGTTTAGTTTGGGGACTATTTGTTAATAGTTTCTTAAATATTTTTCAAATATTTAAATTTTCATTTAAATATTTTAATTTTCAAAGACTATAAAATTGGTGTTTTGGTTAACAATAACAAAAAAAATTAACATGACAACTTTGTGAATGTCCAGAAATCTGATAACTTCAAGTTACCCAAGAGATATGTTACATACAGGAATTTAGTTAGGGTTTTTGAAAAAACATTGGCAATATTGAAAATAGCTTATAATAACTAAAAACAACTCAAGATGAACAATTAAGTGCCAAGCTGATAGGGCAAAACTTGTAGAAAATGATATGAAACATATGAGAGGCACAAGCAACCAGCCACAAAATTAGAATAAATTTAATTGCATAAAAAGTAATACAGATTAGTAGATGCACAAAGGCCTTGGATTCAGTCTTCAGTACACGCACAGCAAACTAATACAGATTAAAAGGGCAAAATATGTGGGTGCATGGTGGTATATACATGTTTCTCTCTCTCTCTCTCTCTCTATATATATATATATATATATATATATTTATATACAATCTGTATATATTTAAATTTATACATTTTTATATATAACCTCCACTTTAGGAAAGACTAAACAATTCAGTGCACTTTTTGTTTCATGGATACTATATTCTAGTATTTTATACAAATGTTTATAAAACAGTAAAAATTGTTATCTCAAAGAATTAATTTTGGTTGGAAATATAGTCCATTTTTCAAGAACTTCAGATAGTATTGATGAATGATAAATCCTTTATGAGTCATTAGATTTCATGAGTCCTTAGCAGGAGAAATATCTACCCCCTCAAATTCTGTACTTGTATCTTATATTGTCTTTCATCTCCCAAAGCACATTGGAAGATAAGCAGAGTATACAGATTGTCTTCAATATTCAGTGTGGAACAGCCATGTTTGTGATCCCTGCTCTTATTATTTACTGTTTTCTTGATCTTATTAATTATTAGATATGAGAAATATTCTTCTCTATGGTATTTTAGTTTTTAAAAGTATTTAGTGGTGCTGAATGTGTGAGACTGACCTTGACACTTGACTGAAATTTTACAGAAAATTGTCATTACAGTTGTAATTGTCATTACAATTACAGATGAGATAATTCCATCTTTACAGTAGTGTTGATACCATTCATAGGAAGTGGATGTAGAGCCACATTCTGTTGTGATTACAGAAATATTCACTCATCTTTGAGTATGACACATGCAAAATAATTTTACCAACATTAGAGGGTGCTATTTATAAACAACATAACTTTCATATACACCCATTTCACATGTGTGCATAGTGCTGAACATGTTAATATGAAGTGTGCATAGTGCTGAACATGTTAATATGAAGTGTGCATAGTGCTGAACATGTTAATATGAAGTGTGCATAGTGCTGAACATGTTAATATGAAGTGTGCAATACTTATACCTCAGATGCAGCTTAGCAAAAATGATCAGGCAAGTAACACTGCAAAGTAGTACAAGTTATACTTTATAATACTATTTAAAAACTTTTACCCAGAGATAAGTTTACAAGATTATAAACTCTTCAATAGGGCAGAAAGGGTTTGGAAATTTGAAATTTTGAACTTCCATTTCTTGTCAGTGCTAAAAATAGAGTTTTTCATTGCTGTGTGACATACAGATTACCTTTGTGTGATTTTTGCATAATATATACCTTCACAGAGTTCTTAGCATTACTTAATATTTACCATTTGGCAATATAGATAAATTTAGGTACAAAGGAAAACACAGATTAAAGATTAATAACATAGAAACAAAGCTTTGTAAATAAAGAGGGAAAGAGGTTAAAGTGAAAAGAGTGGATTGGGAATAAAAGAGGAATCAGAATATATCACATGCTGGTACAAATTCTTTGTGATGACTATGATCACTATACATGTCTAAAATGTACCAATAAACCAAATTTTAAAAAATGTTTTCATGTAAGACAATTTCTAAATAATTTATTTTCAATTTTTAAAGATGAAAACATAAGAAATGTAAATATTTGTTCAAAATCTTGTAGTAAAGGTCTTATATGCATGAGAATTCTGTCCTTAAGCTCTCTGGTCTATTTCATAAAGACTTTTGGCATAGCTGACCTAATTTATTTACTGTCACATATGTCCCATTCACAACCATTACCTTTGAGCTGTTTTGCACTGCTTTTTTCTGCTCTTTAGCTTGCAACATGTTTTTTGCAAACCAATTTATAAAACATCTTCCAGAAGACCACATTCTATTATTACTTGCAAGAACAAAAACAAAAAACCCTAAAACCTCCAAAAAACAAACCAAAACAATAACAAAAAAACAAAACAAAAAACAGTTCTCCCTTTGAAGGTCTACAGAGAATACTACGACCTTGGCTATTGCCCCACTCACTTGCATTGCTTCCTGTCTTGCTACACAGGGCTTCCTCCATCATGTTGGTAACCCCAAATTAGTCATGAGCGACTTCACTATTTTTTTTTTTTTTTTTTTTTTTTGTGGTACTGGGGATTAAACTCAAGACCTAATGCTTGCCAGGCAGGCACTTATGCTATTGAGCTAAGCCCCACCCCCCTTTTTTAAAAAATAAAATTTACTTACTAATGTTTCAATCAAGGCATCTTCTTCATTTACTAGGGATGATTGTAAAATAAGATTAGCTCTACAAATCGTAAGTGAAAATGAGTCCCATTACTTCATAGTCAAATTCCTAATTTATCTTTGTCAGAGAAATGCCTTCTTCCAGGATAAGAGTTGTACAAATCAAGGACACACTGGTTTCTAATCTGGCATTACTAAACAGTAATTGATTTAAATTTTAGAGACTGAATCTATTTATGCAGGTATCCAAATATTCCCCATACCAGAAAACCATACTTGAATAAAATGTAGGAGCAAATATATATAACCCATCCTTTTGTATTTTATTTTTTCTATATTATTTACTATATGGGGCAAACAAAAGCTCCAGTTAATGTATAAATTTAAAAAAATTATTATAGTAAAAAACTGATTGACATTAGACCCCCTGAAATTACTCCCTCTTACCTGAAACACATTTATCCCATTATCTTTTACTATAAATGTTCAAAAGACTTACCATATTTTTAGATCACTCCTTGAATATCTTTGTAGTAACACAAAATTTAACAAAAAATGGCTCTTGGCTCAAGGAAATCACAGTCTACAGTCATGTGTATCCAAAAATCCCAAACAAACACAAAACAAAACCAAGAAGCCCTAGCAAAGTACAAAGAGCACATCCTCTGTGCAGGGAGACAGAGGATTTTTTTGGAGGAAGACGAGGGAGGTATTTTGAAGG